TTCAATTACCCGCTCTTATTATCCAAGCCTTCTGCCAAACCAGATCACACATTTTACAGTTGCTTTAGATTTTACACTCCAGCTCATACTTCTGTTTTGCCTAGTATAACATGAAGAGCGACGGGAAGGTGATGAAATCCCAGTCCTTACAGCACTGTGAGTCCATCATTTGCACTATGCACAGACCCTGAAGTTCCTTACAGACTGGTCCCTTCGCAGGGAGGAGATTTGAACCAAGTCTTAATGAGGACTGTTACAAAGAACAACGCACACTGATTTTTCAGTTTTGTCCAAATTCAAAGCCAGGGAAGGCTTTGCCAAACAGCTTTTGAAGGTCTCCTGATATTTTACAAAGAAAAACCAGGTACCCATTTGTTAAATATAGAATTAATGAGCTTCAAGTCATCTAGAATGATTCTAGCTCTCAAGGTGAGGAAACTAGTGATGCACTCCAGCATATACAGCAGAATAAAGAAAAACACTGAACGATCCACTAATATGGCATGTCTCCATCAAAGTCACAGACCTATGAATATTCAAATGCTACCAGAAGGAAAGCAAACATTTGTTGTTCCCAGACAGCATCCATTCAGCAACTTTAAAAGGACTGAGGCAGGAAAAACGAAAGTCATTTCAGAGATTAAGAGCTTCTGGGTGTCACAGTACAGGACCACAGCCACAAACTGAATGCCATAGCCCATCTTTGTTGTAATCTGCACAGCCAGAGATGCAAATCATGGAGCTATAGGAACACAAGAAGAGGAGAGTGCCCCATGCAGAAGCTGTGCTGCTCTCCTCACATTAATGCTCTCCTCACATTAATGCAGACGGGTTGGTCTAATTTGCCAAGGGCAGACCTTTCCAGTCATCAATTTTCACTTACAAGACATTCATATCGGCACGTTTAGAAACACAAAAAAGCAGCAAGCAGGTAACAAACGATATTGTTGAACAAGAGCACTGTGCCAGTGTTCAGAAGCCAATCAGAAATGGAGGCCATGTTAAGCTATACTCACAGCTTCACAGTTCCAATGAAACCTTCACTGAAACCAGCAAATGGATCCGGTGTCCCCCCACAATGTGCAATTTACCTTCCACGCATCTTCTGAAGCCCAGGCTATATTTTGGATTTTGAGTTCCCAGCTGGAAAGGTAGTACGGAACCTACTCCCACACCCCTGAATTGCAGTCAGTGTCTGAGTAACCATCAACACTTTCTGTGGGGTTACTGCCACTTGCAAAATGGGGTGAGGGTTGGGAGCAGTTGGCTGCTGCCCAGCCTCAGACCCTAGTCTCACTGCTAAAGGCTACATCAGGTTGTGGCCCTGCACAGCTGGTCCCACAGCCACCTGTATTCCGGCAAGCCCAGCATACCCGTCATCTTTCTTGCCCTTCCGCTTTAGCTTTGGGGAAGCCCGAGGGGATGCCTTGGCTTTCCAGTCCTTCACAGGCAGCCTCTGCGTAGATGCTTTGGCACCAAATCCACCTGATGTAGAAGCCAAGCTTGCAACTTCATCATCATGGTCACTATGAAGGAACAGCAGGGGAGAGGACATCACTTGCAATACTGGATAGTGTTAGCCTTCACTAACGGGAGAGGGATTCACACTCTGCTCTTCATCCACACACAGTCAGAGTCACTCAGCTAAGGATGCCTGCCACCTTGATCTTTAACACAGAGACTTCTACAGAGCTCAGCCCACGCTGCTCTGTTTTGATCTAGGTCTGTTCAGGCTGAGCTCCAGTGCTGCATAACAAGACTTGAAGGGTCTCTGCATTAGGAACCACTGTGGTTCAGGTAGTGACACAATGATGCCTGTTGTTGCTCCATACACACACTAGCACATAAGTCCTAGGATATGACACTGACCCAACAGGGAACCCAAGCATAGCATATCCTTACAGCTTTACAGACAGAAAGCACTTAACGCAGCAAGTATTGCAGGAACAGAGGAGAATCAGGTTGAGCCTAGGAAGTGCATGATTCTCTGTACCTTGGAGTCTTTCAGCTGCTGACCAGCCATCCAATGCAGACTGCATGTTTCAGTCTGAACTGAAGTGTGTATTATGAATGAACCCGCAGCTGTCAAACAGGGCTGAGCTTGCCAGACACACAGAATGTGCCCACAGAGCTTTTGGGTAGCTCATGAGGAAGCAAGGATATCAAAAGCAAGAAACTAACTCCTGAGATACCCTTGCTACCTTATCTAAGGCACAGTATTTGGAAACTGGTCCCATAACAAGTTTTCACTGCTAATTAAACCAAGCTTGGTCCACACTCTTAGGAGCAGCACAGTCAAACCTTTCCCTACAGAGAGTAAACTGGACAATACCCAGAGGCCAATCTCATGATCAGCTGAAGTCATCAGAACATTACGGAAGCTGGATTGCACACACACATTAAGTCAGGAGACAAAGCAAAGACATTCACCCCACACGTGAAGGCTTGCTGGGGACAGAAGCACGAATGCAGCCTGAACTGAGTCCATGCAGGGCGAGAGAGGGGGCTGAGCACTCTGGTACCTTTGTTCTGCACTAGCATCCTGGCTGTCATGCTGCAGCAGGTGGTAGCTGTGTCGATGATAGGAAGAGCCCTTGTGCTTTTCTTCAACCTCATCCCTTGGGCTAGAGGAGGGAAAAAAAGAAAATACCATCATGAAAGTCTCTTTCAGCTTGGATATTTGCTCACTCCACTTCTCATGAGAGATCCTGATAGAAGGTCTAAAACGAACAACAACCCCACACCTATCTGCACAGGTCCAGAAAGCAGCCGGTGTTGTTTAGCAGCACTAAACGCTCAAACTTCTTCATGCATTTTTCTGGGGACCTTAAGAAGGGAGAAGCAGCTCAGCTATGCTTCAGGCACTAACCAAGAACAAACTCTCAACAGACATTCATGCAAGACAGGTAAGCCACTACTCAAAATAGGCAGTACAGCGTACTTCACTGAATAGCATCATCTTGGGTTTGTTTTTCCTCAGGTAACACTGATCACTGGGGCAAAAATCATCAGTGCTTCTCAGTTCTTTCAAGTGTCTAAGGAAGCATACAGATTTGATGGGTTAGCTCTACCAGACAGAACAGAACTGTAACAGTGAATCCAGTCTGAGTTTCATAAAGATTTTGAAAACAAACTGCACATGCTTCTAAGCTGTAAACTAGGTCTATCTGAATTCAGCTTGCAGGAAGATCTTTAGACAGAAGTGAGCACTTGTTACTTTCATGTAGGCTGATGGCTTGACTGAGCTGGAATGTTAAAAAAAAAAAATTCTCTCGGATCCAGAGATATCTGATCTGATATTCTGATATGAGAAGTCCTGAAGAATTCAAATACAGAGTGGGATTGAGGGGAGTTGCAAACTCCTATGAAAGGGTTTTCTCAACTTCAAATTATGAGCAAAAGCAAAAACACTGCATAGAGACACAGCCTCAGTGCCCTCCCCAGAGCTGTCAGAATTGAGACTGTTTCCTGAAGCAGCATCCTCAGGCGTGGAGGCACAAGGTGAGGCCTTTCTCTTGCAGTTCTGATGGGAGGGAACAGCCCTGGACAGTTTGATGGACAATACTGACACTCTCAGCCTGCTAGTCCTGTTGAAAAGGAAGGTGTTTGAAGGCTTGATGGTCCATTCAGCCCTGGCCTAGACAGACTCTGGAGGTGCCAGATGCATCTCACTGTTCCAATCCCACAAGACAGGGACACTAATTCTGTGATGAATCCTAGCACTACTCCAGTGTAATAGTTTGCTCCTGGCAAGCAGGCATACGTGATGTTGCCCCATTCTGCATGACTGCTCCACAGAGACATTGCCATTCATTTTCTGACTTTTAAAGTACTTAATTTATAACGCTAGCTGCACAGAACCAATCCTAGAAGAGATACATACGATTAGGCTATAATCAAACCTGTCAATTATGTTCTTATTGATTCCTTCCAACAAAAGCATGCAGGAAGGCATCACCTGGGGCAGAATTTAGCTTGTACTGGTTTTATTTCCCGAGTACAAAAAAACCCCAAAAAATTCCCATCTCAAGTCTCCATTCCTAGGTGAACATGAAGGCCAATAAAGTAGACTTTTCACCTTCTTAACAAAGATCCTTTATGTTGCAAGGGGTGTCAGAGAGCACAAATTGTTAGAGTTGGCCTGGGAAGTTGAGGACACAGCACACACAGACCAAGCAGACAGGAAGGCTGAATCATCAGATCCTTTAAGGAAAGGAGGGATGGAGAACTGCTCTGGTTTAATCACAACATAAGAGCTTTTCACCAAGCTAGCTTTGGCAAGTGCAAAAAAATTGCCCTAAGCAAGACAAACCCAAGTGATTACCTGTCTGCCATGCTGTTCCTGGTTTCTCTGGTTATGTCAGGAGCTGCTGGCCATGGCTGACTCACAACACTGTCAGAAGATGCATTTTCCTGAGTTAAAGCAGTCTCCAGTAATGATGGAGCATTCAGTCTGTCCACCTCCACTGGAGGCATGTCCAAAGAGTGGTGGCTGTGCTCTGAATTGTGCCGGTTCCTTGGAGACAGCAAATGCAAGGCTGAGGCAGCAGATGCCATGCTGTCTGCGTGATGACTGGGCTCCAGCACCTCCGCAGGTAGCCCAGAAGGAGCTGCTGCAAAGCTGCGTTGCAAGGTCTCAGAAGCAATTTCTGGGATATCTTGGGACATGGCTGTGGAAGCAGAGGAAATGACGTCTGGCGAGCGCTCACGGGTGGGAGAAGCCTGGGGCACCACCAAGGGCTCCACCTCCTGCAGTTCCAGTGCTAGAGAGGGGTTTCCTGGTGTGACCTGAATTTAAAAAAAATTTTTAAAAAATTAAAAAAAAAAATCAAACAAGAGCATTCAGGGTAATGCAGAGACACCCCAAGAACCCCTGATACCTTACACCAACCACCTCTGGACTCAGTCAGCTGAATCCTTTCTGTATGTGATCCCTGTGCTCCCACTCTGTTCAGCAGATGGACAAGGGCCCCAGGACTTGTAATGGACTCTCAGCTGGGCTAACATGACACTTAAGCCAATGCCAGTTTGAACACACTTTCAGAATACAAGTTCTACTTCCCTGCTCTGCTCCAGGATCCCTTCTCTTTGAGGGAAAAATTTAGTTTTAACATTTAATATCTCCTGGACTGAAAGCTTATTTCAATTTCAAGCTTTGGTCAATCTGTTTTACCTCACACCTGGAAAGAAAAATTTAGGAATAGGAAATGATTGTTTAAGACCTGTCAGACCAACAAGGCAGAAGAAACCTTTCCAGCTAGCACTGTCTCCTAACACAAAGGCTGACCATGTCCAACCATTGTGATAGTGACAGCACAAGCTAGAGCTGTCTCTAGTTTTCAGAGACATGCTATTTTACATGAAGTCAAGCTCCATTAACATAGGTAAACCTGGCTGCAGATGTGTGCCAGCAGCTGTACTTTCCAAAGGGCTGATGTTGGCCCTGTTAATATCTAAATAAGTCTAACTTCAGCTTATATAGGCCCATAGAGAGAGGTCCCTTGGCCCATGAGGAGAAGGAAAGGAATAGCATTTGGAGCCTTACTGGAACAGGTGCCTTTGGTGTTAGCTTGTCAGGGAGGCCTGGGATAAGAACTGAATGGCTCCTAGGACTAGTCTGGAGACTGCTGCTACTGCTACTCAGCGTGAGGCTGGTGTCCAGCTGCATCTTGGGGCTCACAGTCAAGTCTTCCGATGCCCTGCAGAAAACAGAGATACAAACAAATCAAGCAGGTCAACCTAGTGATACGGATCTGCATCAAACACTTGAGGTGAGGACACAGGATCCACAGGTCAATGGAGGAGCCCAGCGAGATACCATGTGGAAACAAAAAAACCCAAAAGATGGGCATCGCAATCTCTTAGAATTTCAGGGGTCAATGAGACCAGTTATGTCTTCAGTACACACCTTACAGAATTTAGGGAGAAACAGGACACTATGTCATAGGTCTTTGTCCTTTTCCCAGCCCCTAGAAGTGAAGTTTTCACCTGTTATGCAGCCCAACCCACTGCAACACTACTAAGATTTTCCTAACGGTCCCAATTATCTCCCTGTCCTTGGCGGCTGCAGTGTTGTCTTACCTGTAAACAATGACAGCCCTTTGGGAGAAGCATGTAAAGCAACAAAACTGAGATGCAATAAGAGAATCCCTATGAGGCACAAATGAAACACTATTGCTGGCCCCTTGGATGACAGCAGGCATGCTCCAAGCTGCATGAGAGATGCAAACATTTGCCCATACAGGGACATTGGGACTCAGGACAGTTTCTAACTCTGGTTACAATCTCCTCTCCTACAAGATTACACTACAGCTCTGTGCCACCCTGAAGGACAGTATCAGTTCAGCTGCAGATATATTATTTAATACATGTGCTATTTACCTGGGCATAGAGGCATCCGTGACAGAAGTGCTACTCATAGCTGTGACTGCAGTCAGGGAACTAACGCTGCTGCCTGGAGATACAGCGATCTGTAAGAAAATACACAGCAGTCAGGATGTGACAGAAGAGTCCAACAGCAGAACTGAACCTGAGAATGCTGGGTCCAGAAGAACTCCTAAAGAGTCTTTGGTGAAGAGGGAATAGAAAAAAGAAAATAGGTTGAGTTGTATTGCTAGGTGCTGGTCAAAGGCAACCCCCAATACATACTCATCACATGAGCCATGACTGCTTTTATTGAGCAATTGCCCTCCCAAAACAAAGTGGCATTCTGCAGGGCTCCGCACCAGATCCCCATTTTGTTCTTTGAGCTAGGCTGCTCTTGTCAAGGTCTGCTGCCACTAGTGAGGCCAGAGCCTGTATGGGGTTTAGATCCTGCACTGCTGATACACAGAAGTAGAATGCTCCAATGCACAAGAAGAGGTATTGCTCATCTAGCTAGCTGGCTAGCAATGAAGAGTACAGGGGGATATGCTGGTCCCCACTGCTGCTTCTGGCTACCAAGAAACACCTACAGAGAACACCAACACACACACACGCAAGTACTCAGCTGGGAAAGCCGGTGTGGCCAAGCTTCTTACGCTTAACAGTGCTTATGGTAGAGAGCAGAGACTGAGCTAAACTCAAAGCTGTGTCCACCCTACAGTGGTCCTGTGTGCTGGTGCTGGCAGGAAAAAGCCTGCCATGAAACAGGTAGCAGTCAAAGGCCAGGTTTAAACTGAACAGTTACACTGTTTAAACTCAAGAGTGAGCTGCTCCTTGCAGCAAACAGTATGTGCAACCATCACACCTTCAAGAACTTCTCTCTGCTCCCTTGGGACATCTTTGCATTGCGAAGGCTACCCATCCTCAGGGACATAATTAACTCCTGTGCTCAGCAACTTTGCCAGCAACATCAAAACCTTTAGGAAGAGTTTAATTTATTCTTTGCTCCCCAAGTTGTTGCCAGGGTGGCTCTCTCCTGTTAGTCAACTCAGCACCAACTCCATTTCTGCACATCTCCATGTGTTGTTCATCCTCATCCAGGCTCCTCCAGTACATGTTCAAGCTGTGGTGACAACCATGTGTTCCTCCCTTGGAAGGGGGAAGCCCTGCCTTAGGATGTGTACATGTAGTGCTACTCATAAGCACTCTCCCCCTTGCCTGTAAGAACTATATCAGCATGCCAAATAACTGCTGACAGTTAATTTCTCATAGGAAGGCAGAGAAAACACAAACAGTGCAGCTTCTCACCAGTGGAATCCACACCTTGTATTTAAGTTGCAGATCTCTTTTCTTAAAGGATGCACTTTTAAAAATTCTTTTTAATTTATTTCTACTCTCATTCTAAAAGCACATGGAGAAAACTACACAGTCACAAATTCAGTACAGAGATTCAGTACAAATTAAGTATAGAGGCACAGAAGCAGGCTATATAGCAAGAATATCTGAGTGGGTTTAAGAGAAACTAACATGACACTTGGATGCAGAGTGGCCAAGAAACAGTGAGCTTACGCACTTCTGCTTGTTGGCATAATCAAGAAGGGGCAGCAGAAACCTGCACTGAGTTAGACAGATGCATGCTGTCAGTGCCAGACAGCCTCTAGAAATACCCAGCAGGACCCAACAGTGCATGATGCAGCACTGCTAACCATGCACATGTGACAGAGCATTAAGAGGAAGTCTGGTTTCTGACTGCTCCATCAGAGCTCCACTGAGGAATAAATGCTTGCTTATGGCTCTTCACCAAGACACTTTGCTATGCTTTGCAGAAATCACCAAATCCTGAGGAACGCTTCACATGCTTCCTGATACCGAAATCCCTGGAAAAAGCACAGAAGACTTGCCTTCTGTACAAGTTAAGGCCTGCTGTGTTAGATTCAAAAAAATCCACCGAGCTACTGGATCGATGATTTGCAGATCAAGACGTTACAGTCCCGTCTACCTACCTGATCATTTCAAACATGCATTCCCACAGGATCCCATCAGACAGGATATGCAGAGATGGCATATTGTCTTCTATTATAGTTATATCACAACCCCAAACAACCTGTGTAAACCAGTCTCACAGCTTAGATACAGTTATTTAGCAAACCCATATTTCTACACAAATACAGCTACATCAGCAGTTTTGAAGCTAAACACAGCACTTGCAATGCAAGCTTAGGCCAGTTTAACATTTTAGATGCGCCAACATGTCTTTACTCAGTTTGTATACATGCACAGAGTCTCCTGTGTGCTCTGCATTCAGCTAGCATGGCCTAGAGTAATTACTGCCTAGGAAAAGTTCCCAAAAGTATCAAAATCCAAACCCACCCCTTCTACCACCAATAACAGCGCTGTTCTCTGGTTACCTGTTGAAGAGATGTACTTGGTGTCATGAATGCATCTGGAGTCATCAGCTTAGGTTTGGCATCATTTGAGAGAGACAGAAAGTCTGCTGGTACAGGCAGATCAGCAATACGCCGCAGGTCTGGTTGAGAGCCATGCACCGATCCTTTTTCAGAACCCAGCCCTTCTGTGCTTAGATCAGCTATGTGGTCTGGAAAGGCTTCCAAGGGAGAAAATACAAATCAATCTACAGGAACTTCCCCCAAAAGCTAAAGCTTTAATTCCACAAAGTATGAACTTATGCCATTGACAGCCATACTGGATTCCAAAAGAACAAGCAAAACCCCTGCAACAACCTGGGCAAAGCAAATCCTGTGTCATGCTTACTTTTTGTAGGCTAAACAGTGGATGTTATCAGGCTTTGATAATAAGAGATCCAAGTTTCCTTTCTTCCCTAAATGCAAGGACAGTTTAACAGCCACATCCCAGAATGGTGAATGAACTGAAAGAGTACACTAAACACAGCCTAGTGCCCTCTACTCCCAAAGCTCTGGTGTCACTGTAATGTCTTCCACCTGACAAGAGACAAATGTCAAGTTTCTGGCACAAGTGCCAAACCACCTAGGAAGGTGAACTCAAGTGTGCACAAAGCATTAGCACTCCTAGCCTAACATGTCCCCACATTCCATACTCACACCAGGCTCTGATCAAGTGGCCTGCTTCCCAGCTAGTCCATATTGAGAACCATTTATGCAATGACATCACTATTCTATTACAAAGACGCACCCAAAGCTGCTCTCTTGCTGCCCCACCTCCAACAACCTCTAAAGGCTCAGCAACACTGAAGACTGATTTAACACAAACGCTCACCAAATTCTTCATGAGAGCCATGGGAAGGCATGGATGCACTCATGTCAGGACTGTGAAGAGGCTGGAATCTAATCTGCACATCCTGTAGGGCCCTGAAAAAAAACAGGCATCTCTGATTAGTTTATGAATCGCCAAGAGAAGTCTAATGCTTAGAAGATTCCTCTTCATGGAACTGATTTCCTTGGAATAAGCTTTAGCATTTTCTGCCCATGACAGAAGAAGGGGAAGCTGATCCTTGTTCAGCTGTGCCACCCAGTTCTGGCATCCAGGGTATTCGAGAGGCGTTTCCCAGCACTTACACATGAGCACAACTCTTAAGTCACTGCGTACTCATGCTGACAAAAATACTAGCTTGCCACAGCAGCATGCAGGGCTACTTCCTGGTAAGGCCATACTGAACACACCACAGCTAGAAGTCTCTACAGGTCCAAGTAGTTTTTGTTATAAGCAAAAGGAATTGGTAAGTTAAATTTCTATAGGTCAGTGCAGGATTAGGATGACCACAGACAGCTGCCCATGGTAGCTGCTATGCATACTCACTTGGTGTGCACACAGAAGAGTTTTATCAGCACACCTGCTGCTGATTCAACAGCCCCAGCTCCCTGAGCACCTTCTGTAAACAAGACAAAAGCAAAATATGAAGTTGGATGGAAACTGCAGACAACCTACTAGAAAAACATCATAGCAGATGAACCAGCAGCAGAGAACCAGCATGATACAGCTTCACACAATCTATGATTCTAATCATAGAATGCTTTGGGTTGGAAGGGACCAGTTAGAGGTCATCTAGCCCAACCCCCCTACAGTGAGCAGGGACACCTTTAACTAGATCAGGTTGCTCAGAGCCCCATCCAACCTGACCTTGAATGTTGTCAGGGATGGGGCCTCTACCACCTCTCTGGGCAACCTGTTCCAGTGTTTCACCACCCTCATTGTAAAAAATTTCTTTCTTATGTCTAGTCTAAATCTATTATTCTTTAGTTTAAATCCACTATTCCTTGTCCTGTCATAACAGGCCTTGCTAAAAAGATCACCCCCATCCTTCCTATAGGCCCCCCTTAAAGTACTGAAAAGCCGCAATAAGGTCTCCCCGCAGCCTTCTTTTCTCCAGGCTGAACAACCCCAGCTCTCTCGGCCTGTCCTCGTAGGAGAGGTGCTCCAGCCCTCGGATCATTTTTGTGGCCCTCTTCTGGACACGCTCCAGCAGGTCCGTGTCCTTCTTGTGCTGAGGGCTCCAGAGCTGGACACAGTACTCCAGGTGAGGTCTCATCACTTCTTCACTTCATCACTTCTCCACTTCAGAAGAAGATTCACCCGGTTAAGGGAAAGTGTATCCTACACTCCCTTAGTTTCCAATGTGAGAGCAATCAAATTTGCTCCAATCCAGTCAAATGAGCCTTAAGGAAGCGGGGGCGGTAGCACGGGCCTGGAAAGATACCTCACTAGGTAGAAAGGAAGAAGCTGAGGTCTGGAACTGCCAGTGATCTGTTCTGGCTGTTGAAGTGACTGGTTAGATATATATCATACAGAAGTTCAGACTAGGGCTCAACCATCCTTCCCGGCTGTAAACAACTATAGTTATGAAGAGCTCTGCAGTAACTTCCCATGAGCCAGCACTGACAACATTCACTCAACACCTGTATCAGTCTCATTGCTAACAAAGCTAAGGAGGCAGAGTAGAAAAGATAAACCTAACTCCCCATAAAAAAAATCTATTAGGCATTCCTATGCAAATTGTCCTAATTATCTGAGCACCAATCAGGGACCCAAAGCTTCAGTCCCAGTCTGCTCCTGACTTGCTACGTGTACCTGTCATTTTTCCTTCTGCATTTCAGAGCAATGCCACTAATATTGACAACAACATGAATTAACTATAATTATGTACAAGACATGGCATAGGGAAGCATGTCATTCTGGACTATCAGTACAGCTGTATCTTTCCAATAGGAAATATGTGATGTTACTCAAAGCATCCTTCCAAATTTTACTAACAGAAAGGTAGGAGGGTAGGAGCAAACCAACAGTTGAAGAGAGGCAGTGATCAAGGAATGTCTACATAGGACAGTTCTCCACAGGATTCACTACCATATTCATTGTAGTAATGGCCAGAAGAAGACATCTCATGCGTTTCTCCTCTAAAAAGAGAGTTACTTGTTCATTTCTGTTGCAAGAAGCTTTGTGGCTTGGGAATATGCCTTCCAGATGTGACGGCGAAGAATCCCACCCTTTCCCTCAACTCAGACTGTGTACTTTTCTCACATCTGTTACAGCTCAGGCAGCACGATTCAGAAGCAAGCAGTTGGTTTCTCAGACCATGTGCTCACACCTCTGATGTTTAATTACACAGTTTACTCAGACAAGCAGTCACAGAAATATATCCTGCTAGTTCTTCCAGGAATCCTTTTGCTCCTGTGAGCCTGCATCAAACTTGCTGGAGGGAGACACAACCCTATGCTGCCAGAGGAAGTTGTCCCCTGCATCCTGCTGGGGACAACGATGCTACATGATTGCAAAAGGATCACAGCTCGGATACCGAGCAGCTAATCTTGTACCTTAACCAAAGTGTCACTCGCAGCACTTAAGCTCACACAGCCCTGGAATGTTTTTTTTAACAATGGAAACACCTCAGTGGAATTTGTGTGGTAAGGGGCAATGGCTACAATCTGGGTTGGGAGGTTCACGTTCAGTATTAAGAAATACTTTCTTTAGGCAGGGGTGCAGCCCTGGGACAGGGCACCAGAGCAGAGACAGAAATGTCATGTTTGGGGGCCTTCAACATGCAACTAGATGAAGCCACAGGTGACCTGATCTGCCACCAGCAATAGCCCTGCTTCAAGCAGCAGGTTGGACCAGAGACCTCCAGAGGTCCCTTGTAGCCAACTCTACTATGTTTCCCTGATGTACTCTAGCTGCATAGGATGTATTTCATACAGACTAAGAGGAGAGCCAGCCTTTTATGAGAAAGCCAGAACCAGTCAGGAAAGAAGTCCTGATCTCACAGCAGCCAAATTCTCTTCACCACCTACCTACACTCAAGTTGTCATTTTCCTCTTCTGCTGGGAGCACTTCGGTGTGTCTTAACCGGCAGCGGCTCACTGCCTGGATGCCAAAGCTTAGGACTGGGTGGGTAAGGAGGAACTCAGAAATGGAACTGAAGTAAGCTTTGCCCTCCTCTTGGTTCTGCATCAGCTCCATCACATACAAGACCTGGAAGAATCAGAAACAGTAAATCACTGGGCTTTCCGAGCAGACCATGAGTCTAGCTAGACCATGCGTCTAGACTACAAAGCCTAGCACCTGAACAAGACTTGGAACAATGGAAATAACACGAGGAATAAAGAAAGCCTGGACCATTTAAATTTGAACAGAACACTCAAGGGAACCACAATAAGCACACTCCTATCTGAGTCAATGTTGACCAGGAACTCAATTGTACTGTGCCAGACACAGGTATCTCCAAATGAGAGCTTTACTTTAGGGTGAGAAATAATCCTTCAGGCTCCTCAGGATTAATCAGCTGAATTGTTACCATTTGACATCTTATGGTGAAATAGTTGAGGCCAGCCTCTGCATTTTTAGCTATTAATGTGCAAATCCTAGACCAAGGGAGCAGAATCAGTCAGACAGATGGTCATTTCTCCTTCTGTCACCATTACCCATACAGCCAGCAATAAAATGAACCACCTACTTTTCTCTGCACATCGCTCAGTATCAGATATTCTGCGGAGAGGTCCAGGCAGACTTTCAGGCTGGGAAGAATACTCATGGAGCTGAAGATATCAGGAGAAAAGCTAGATCCACAAACAAGAGGGAGGGTGGTGCAGAAAGCAAGGCAGATTAGCACAACCAGAATGACTGCTATGAAACTGCATTAGTTAAAAAAAAAAAAAAAAATCTTAAGTTTACAGCCATACTACAGTGCAACCACCCACTAGAACAAAAACATCATTGCAGAAATCAGTGCTGACTTCAGCTAAGTGACCAGTACTGACTTCAGCACGGAGATCACAGAATAGGAACTAGATATAGATTCTGAACATTTAAATGAAAGATGACAGTTTGTCATTAGTTAACATGTTCTACATTCACAGGAGGACAGGAGCCAATGCTACAGATTTAAAAACAAAAATCTACCAAGCCAAAATAACCCTTCTACAGGTTTTGGACCTTCTGTAGTACAAGGCGGAAAAAGCAGCACTTGGCTGCATGCCATACTCTTCTCATTTTAAGAAGGCAATTCAGAAGCGGCTTTACACATGCATGTGATCAGAGAGGCCATGATCCACCAGCAGAAAAGTAAAACCAAGGAACATAACAAGTTGAGTGAAGGGATGGACTAAAGTGGAATTTGAACTTCTGGACCCATATGGTTTGGCAAATAAGCCTTGTATAACCGCTTAAGCTCTGTCAACATAGCAGCCTCTCATTATTTAAATCAGAAAAATCAGTAAGAGGAAGAGATCCTAGATAGGTTATTGAATGTCTAGTATTTCCACAGAAGAAAGCTCTCAAGGAGTGTAATTTGGAACGCCCCTCCTCATGCTACAGGTATGTCTGTGCCCTACAGACCAAATTGAAAACAACAGGTCTTGGTAACACCAACGAGACTGTATAAAAGGATCAACCTCCCACGCCTTGCCAAAGCTTGACCCGACAGTCTGTCACCGCCCTGACAACTTTCAACAGATAGGTCAGATTGGCAAAGGAGGAGGCTCTAACTAGGGCTAGAGTAGACTCCATTGGAGATCAAGGATAACCTTTGCAAAGTAATCATACCTGGAAATTGAGAGCTTTGTTACAAACCACTGCTCAAAGTAAATCCAACCCATCAGGAGAGTCATCATATCAACACTTACCGCACAGTTTGTAGACAGGTCCAAGACACAGTGCACCACATCTTCAGTTCTCTATTTTGATCTGCTCCTGTGATGAGAAATCTCCAGAAAGGAACCCTGCAGGGACAACAGAATTAAGTTGTCTTAAAGAAGATCTGGTCCTTCTCATAAGCATGTTTCACAGAAGACTTCCTCACAAGCTGCCCATAGCTGATTTTACCCAACCATGTGTTAAAGTTCCCAGAAAATCTCTGCGTCTGAGGCAGATTAGAAACCATTATAGCTCTCATAGCTCTCAAGAACCTTAAGGCTACAACTGACTGAAGAAAGAATAAAAATTAAAAACCAAAACAGTCACTTTTTAATCAACTGTAGTAGAAATTTGGAGGATAACAGGCAAGTTAAAACTGACCATAACACAAACCTGAAAGGACTCATCAATTTTGAATTTTCATTGCTTTCATGGAATTGACACTAGAATTAAGGTCACTTTATACTGTGCTCCAGAGCCTTATTTATTTCTCCATCACTAGAAAACTGACTACAAAGGGGACAGGACCTGCCTCTGCCACAACATTCATTTTTTTACAAGTACAATGCAGTTACAAGGAACCCTCCAAAGGTAGAGTTAGAAGACACCACTAAACCTTGATAATCCAAGTATGGGATTGGGGACTTACTCTGGGTCTTGTTTTTTATGGTTGTCACAAAAGAGCAGGCAGGAAAGAGGCCTGCCATCATGGGGTTTCCACTCGTGAAGACACCTAAGAAAGAATTAGAAAAGATTGAGTGTGCAGGAGTAGTAAATAAGGAATATATAAGGCAGGCGCTGAACACATTACCCCTTGTCCAAAGACAGCATTAAGTCAGCAGCCACCAAGTGTTACCAGCCTGTAGCTGTTTACAGGCTTACATAAAATAAGGAGATCACAGCCCATGCACAATCTATTTGTGATCAAAAAAAAAAAAAGAAGAAATCATGCGTTGGTATTTGGTTTGGTGTCTTAACAAGGGCACAATACATAAAATAAGTCAACATGGAGAAGAACAGCTCAGAGCTTTGTCCATTTACAGGGACAGTGCAAGAGTTTGACTACAGCCTGTGCAAAGCACAGAACTCCTGCTTCCAGACACAGCTCTAAGTTCACCAAACCTTGAACATACATGACATTCAGTGATACAACTCTTCTGCAACAAATTACTTCACTAACATTCACCCTATATAGAATATCTTTATAAAGTTCTGAGAATGACCATTGCAGGCAATTCTGTAACAAGGAAATTATCAGAAAATGCTGCTCTCTCTTCCAAGATCCTTCATTTTCTAATTCTCCAGTTACCTTGGCTCGTCTTGCCCCTCAATATAGATCTGCCAGAATTTGACAAAACCATCATGGCTTGCTGTGGCCAACACAGTTCCATCTGGAGAAAGTGCTCCCTCACTCAGGCACTAAACAGAGAAGGCGGGGGAGAAACCAAAAGACACAGAAAAGTGATTTTATAGCTCTTCATGGAGAAAGAGTACTCTCTTCAAACAGGAATTTGACTAACAGTCTGTTAGTACATGAGGTCAGAGTGATTTCCAAACAGACATGTCACCAGGCAACTTAACCCTTCACAGAAGAATTGACAGGGCTTTTTTGTGTAATAATAATTAACAATCACCTTTTCCAGACAGCAAATTTAAGTACAATGGATTGTGCTGCTACTGTTCCCACTGTTACTCATGTTATGAACAGAGCTCATTTTGGTTTGGGATCTTCTGGCTATTCACAGTCCTATTGTTTCACAATCATAATTGTTTCATCTAAGCGATACAATTACTTTGCTATCATCCTGTTCAAGAAGTGAAACTGGACTCTTTCCAGTTGTTTTTTTTATATTCAGAATAATCACCTATTACTTAGCTGCAGTCCTGGTCCACTGTACTCACAGATATAACTATACTCATTAGGGAAATCAGAGAAGAATATAGATGACATCAGTCTTAATTTTCCCCTTTTCATCCAGCAGTAAACCACTGCAGTGGTTCCATTTACCAAGAGATGTAACAAAATAGTAGAAATACAGTGCAGGTTGTCAAACAGGCCCTTGGAAATACAGATGAGTTTTTTCAAGAGCTGTTTTCAAAGCAAATGACTACACATTCACCTTGGCTCTTTAAACAAAGGTTACTTACCCATAGCGTGTGTACATAGCCCGTAGGTGTGGGTGATAGTGTGGATGGGTAAGAAACTTTTTTTTTTTTACAGCCAACTGTCCTAAAAACTGCAGCTCCTGAGACACTATAACCCACAGAAAACCTAAGTGATCTGCAGCAATCACCTATGGATGGCAGTAAAGAAAGCAAAATGGGTTTATACCGTGCTGTGGCCTTTCACTACGATGAAGCCTTCTTTGATGCTAGGCACTTCCACCGGCCAGGAGCTGTTGTTTGTTCGGATAATGTCCAAATCCCACACCTCTGCCTGGAAAACAAACATGTGGGCACACAGGTTTATTTCTACAACTACTGGTCTGATCCAGTAGAGAATTTCTTATATCCTTATCTTATATCCTGACATACCAGCCCAATGGCAAATACGTGACACAAACCTTCCCATTTCCACCCAATTTGGCCATTAGATGCTTTCCTGACACCCAGCTATACATAAGCACAGGGAACCACTCTTGGCAGTTGTAGTTGTGGCTCACCAATCCCCCTCTCCTGGGAACTGGCTCAGCCTGAGCAGATGAGTGATGCCTCTGGCCCTCCAAATTGTTTCTAGTGGTCCCACTATTTAATGGCAAGCAGAAGTTATCACTTTCCTTCCTCCTGAGCCCTGAAGAAAGATCAGCATGACCTCTCCTTGGAAGAAAGGAATCCCACATTTCGTATTATGGGAGGATGCCCAGCACAGACCAGACAGAAGCCTTTACCATATCGGTTCTTTCCTTCATTAGATTCTTTGCCTCTAATAAGGGACAACATTTCAAAAGCAAGGTTTTCTTACCCTGTCCTCATGTAACAAAGCCAATGTCTGACTTCCCTCTTCACCACTCTCCTCATTATCATCTGGGATGAAAGGGCACCAGATGATTCTTCGAGAGGTGTTCAACGGGGTATTGTCAGGTCGCTTGATGTTAACCAAGATCTCCTCTCTGATCACCACAGTTAAGAAACACAATATTCTGGCAGTGCTACTGACACTCAGCAATAACCTGTTCAGGCCTGGTCCTCTGGTAAATACTACTAAACCTCAAGATTTTTTGGATCATTGAGATTCAAAAAGAAATCAGATAAAAGGATTCTGCTAAGAAAGGTGGCAAGGTAGCATTTCTTCACTGGAAGACGAGGTTAGGCTTACAAAAGTTAATAGAGTCTTACAATTTTCTCTTGCAGGCTGCAGACAGGGACAGGATAAGCACAACAGGACACACACACATCTGAATGTGCAATCCACATGACTGCTAATGGACAGATCAAATGATTTCAGCTAGCACAGCAACGTTACCACTGAAAGACCAAAAAGCTACCACGTTGCCCCAGGCTGAGTGCTCTGGTCCACCCATACAAATCAGATCTTAAACAACTACAACCATCTTTGCTCCAGTTGCTTCTGAAATGATGGGCTTTTGAAATGATGGTATACCATTAAAACTAAGAAGCCACAACCTTAGATGACATATCCCACAGACTGACGTGCTTCCCAAAAGCACTGAGCAGTCACTCCTAGCAATTAAAAAGGAAAAGACTTAGGGCAATGAATCAAACACTGAAAATAAATTTCAGGACCACCAAAAGAAGAGAGATGACAGGTTTGGAAGGAAGATAGTGAGCGGGAGGGAAGTATTACATCCTCCTCCCCAGAAAAGTAACTGAGGAAAAGAGTTAGAACCAGACAAATGTGAATAAAAAGCTTTGTCACATGGTCGAGGTGACACTGTCCCTGTGTAAGGCCAGATAGTACAGACTGATACTTCTCAATGACTACTTTTTATTGGACCAGAAGGAGCACTGAGGCATCACTCCTAGAATTTCAAGTTACATGCAATTTCGCATAATGATTGTGATGAATGCAGGCACAGGTTGACAGATTTGATATTCTGGAAGGGGCATAACTATTGACCTTCCCCCTGCAAGCTGCTATTCTGAAAAGGCCATGCAGTAAGTTGCAATTTTGAGGCTGCATTCACATCTAACGATTACACAAAGACTGTTACGAGACGTATTTTGACAAGATACTGGATTTTTTCTTTATCCATGGCCAGGCGCCAGACAAAAAGGTTGCCAGCCTCATCCAGGCATGCCAGCTGGTTGGAGTTGAGATGAGCAAAAGCCAGGTCTGCCACACCGCCTGTGAATCCTTTCAGCAAGGTCCGCTCAGCAGTGCTGACGCTCAACACCCGCACCATAGCGGAGCCATTACTGGCAACTGCAAAAAAGACAGAGGGAGAAGTCATCATTTAGCTGTGCAGTTTCCCCACAGGACTGCCTTTGTTTCCAGCCATCAGCTTGTAATTTCCAGCACCCATCCCACCATCAGCTGTCACTGGCAACACACCAAAAACCCATATCAATAGGTACCATGTTAACAAGCCCTTTCAAGACCCAGGATACACGCACAAATACCCACTGCACTTTTCAGCTTTGGTGCAGAAGATTGGAACGGCAGCATCAAGAAGGAGTCTGCCTGTCTTGTAAGGGGCAACTTAATTCCCTGTTTCTTCTACAATTTCTTGAGCACCTCAAATTCTAAGTTGCTCTACTTAAAAAGTCAACAGGAGTTGACTTCTCATGATTCCCAGGATAATTCTCATGAAAGGTGCCTTCATTAAATGTAAGCCTAAATCTTTATCCTGGGCTCATGACAAAGCTACTAAACCTCCAAGACTGACCTCCAGTGACAGTGAATTAATTTTAATTGCAATTTCATTTTCAGTAAGTGGAGAAAAGGAGTCACTGAGAGGCAGGTAGCTCAGATATGCCATCTGTAAGGGGAGCGTAAAAAGCATGAACACCCATCTAGCAAAAAGTACTGCTTTTTGGCTTGCATGACTGAAAAGAACATGCTTTAGAGCACGCACACACCAAGCAAAGTTTTCAACTTCCCCATTTCAGACAAACATAATGCAGGCAGTCTTATGGACACCCTGTTGTTTCCACTTCTTGATGCCCAATCCAGACCTAACAGACCACTCAGCTTTCCATAGTGTTACTGCACCCAAGCTTTAGTAATTTAAGAAAAGGGTGAGACACCCTAAAGCTGCTCTAAAATAACCTCAGCTAGCAAAAAACACAGAAGCAGAATAGTAGATTTCATAAAAGGCCAGACAAAATGACAAGTCTTAAAACTAAGAAGAAAGGGAAGAGCCAATGGAGCCCCAAACACTGTGTGCTTATATGAGAGCAGAAAGAGACATTGCAGATGACTAAGTGTTCATTTGTTTCATGTATGTTGTGAAACAAGCTTTCCCTGTTGTTGTTCTGCTTTTCTCTCCCTTCCTACTGCAAAATACACTGCATCTGCATTGCTCTTTGGCTCATCTAAATTTAGCCTTAAACTCAACTCAAAATTTATGCAAGCAAATCCATTGCAAACATTTATCAGCTCAAATTACCACAGGGCTGTTTCTGTGCTTAGCTACAGAGAAGCGTGTTTACTGCAGAAATACTTAATTAGAGGAGTAATCTGAACATCAGCTTACTGTCCAGTGAAACCAATGTAATCCTTCAGCTTTTCCTCCATCCCCAGTGAGTCCTTCTCTTTCATTTCTAACTTCAGAAAAGCTTTCCTTCTCAGTGGAAACTCTCCTACACCACGAACTCTTCCCTCCCCCTGAGCTCCAGCTTCACTTACGCTCTCACTACAACAGCACCCTGATCTTGGTATTACAAGAAGTGTTTCAATTATTGCCAGTTACCTTCTTCTGATGCAAACTTTGCCTCTTTTAGAGATACCCAGAGCAAAAGAATACAAATCACATCCAAGACAAGAAAGTTTCTCACCTCTAATAGCATAAGCCAGGTAAGAGTTTGAAACAGCTATCAGATTGCCATAATAGTATTTCTGCTCCCAGTCATATCGAGCAACAGGCTGTATTTTCACCTGCTCAAGAGAAAGAAAACAAAATACGAGAACTGTTTGGAATTAGCTTTTTCCTGGAACAAACTTGCCAAATATATGATTTCCTCCAGGGAAGATCTGTAATGCTTAACAGGAAACTATCAGAATATTGTACATTGAATACCAGGCAGCAGAGCTCTGAACATTCAAAGTTCTGGAGGCTGATGGATATTTCCTTCCATTACAAGAAGGAATGCAACTCACTGAATTTGTCACACTGCAGAACACCACTCTACCCTGCAACTACAGTGAGGCAGCCTTTACCTCTTTGTTAGCACTCTGTCTGAGTTCTTGGAAACTTTTTTGAAATATAGAAACACATTTGCCGCATGGGCAGTTGCTTTTTAGTTTTAATACTGCTTTCCAAGAAACTGAGACCTGGTCTTATTTGATAAGCATTGTCTCTGCGAGCAAAGAATTAAGAAAAACTATGGAAATTATGGAAATTATCCTCCCTTTCATTTTTATCTTTAGTATTATCTATGAAAAACAATGATAACATAGTACACTATTCATTTATGATCCCTGTGGTCCCTTAATTCACTGCACATCAAGGAACAGAATGATACAAAAAGTGCCAAGAGGATCAAGACCAGAGCGCTTTCTCCTAATTATTAGCATTTGTTCTCAGCATGTCTTAGTACTCTGCTACAGCACTAGTACTAATCTCAGCATATTGGTTCTTCTGCAGCTCTGATCTGCTGGGTAGGGCCCTCAGCAGGACTGAGGCTAGCAAGCTATCAAGAGCAGCCCTCCCTCCATAGTGAAGACCTTCCAGTGAAGAAACAATGAGCAGGAAAAGCTTGTTTGTGAAGGAAGGGCACTTTCTCAGGAACCTACAGCTTAGATCATGGACTTATTCCTGAAAATTAGACGATAACTTGACCAGACTCTGGAATAACAGCAACAATCAGCTACAAGATACTGCTCCAATTTTTTCCCCGCCTTGTTAAGCTCTTTGTCAAACTTCTACCTAATTAAAAGCTCCTATAAGACAGGAAAGAAGACAGTAATTTCTGTTTAAAATATTCAAGCATGAGCTGATGTGACTAAAAAAAAAAGACAGAACTACGCTTTCTCTTGTTCCTTACCTTGTTACTCCCTCTGGCCTTACTGGTGATGCTGGAATCACTGCTGGCCACTATCTCCACATCTTTTGCTGATATCACTACACAAGTGGAGCTGTCATCACCAGAAAGGCAGCTTTTAAGAAAAACAAAGTGGGGGGGGTGGGGGGGCAGAAATCAGACTGGACTCACAGGAAGAGAGCAGAGGTCAGATATTTACTATTCATAATTTTAACAGCAATGCAGGAGTATCTGTGCATCTAGGAGGTTTGACCTGAACAACTGAAACCAGAAACTACTTTCAGAGTCTCCCTTCTCCACGCGTCACAGGTTTGAGAGCTCCAAACACCTGGTTTGTTCAGCTTAAAAACCTCCCGTCTCTTCTCACAGTCCATTAGTCTATCTGACTTGAGCACAGAACTACATTTGGTTAGAGCAGCCTTTACTACCCAACAAAGAGACCAAAGCCAACCACTTGAACCTCATCAACAACAGTGTACATTGCTCATGGTTCTCACAGCATCCTCTCTCAAAACAATGACCAGAGAACCCAAACAAAAGCTATTTACACCAGTTCTGATGTTAAGAGTCACCACATGAAGCCAAGCATTACACTAATTAGACTGATGGGGATTTGTAGCTGTGGATTTGTATTACTACTCCCACGACAAATCCAAAGTATTCTATATGCTTATGTTCTCTTGCATATAAGCAGTAAAAGCACAGGTACTGTCCAAAACACACCGATGTATATGCACAACTCAGCAAAGAGTTAGGTAGAAATCTAGCTCATTTGTCCTGTTTTAAGTTACATGGAAAGAAATACTTTGACAAATACAATGTCTACTGTACTACAAACTGGTATAAGTTACCACTCAGGTAACTTGGGTCTCTGAAAGAGTCCAGCTGGAGGTCTATATGAGGACGTTAAGTTCCACCCAGAGCCCTGCTAATTTACCTCCATCTTGACTTGCAGTGTCCACCATGCGACCAGTCCTGCTCCCCTTCTCCCTAAACAGCTCTGCTGATATTCTTCAGTTCCTGAGCAGCAGGGATGGCAGGCTCCATGCATCAGCATCACAAAAGCTACAAAAGCTCTGACCAATAGCATGGACTCACAATTGCCACCTGAACTCAACGTAAAATTCAATGTCAGATTCCCAGCATGCTTGTCCATGCTCACCAGAACTAATTTTTAACCGTCTTCTATTCACTCTCAGCCTCTTTTCAACAAAACTTACATGACTTGCTTCTCCTGCAGGGCTGCCAGAGAAATGCTGCGATGCACTGGCTTAGCCAAAGAAGGTCCATCTCCGGCCACAATGGGATCAGGCACCAGCAGTCCATTCAGGTCTCCATTATATGAATTTGATGGTCTCTGGTTCTCATTCACTGAACCTAGGGAAAAGCACAACCAACTCTGCACAATATCCATTTAAAGGAAATAGCACTGTATGAAATACACTACCTCCAGATGTTTTTTGTCAGGTTCTACTCATCTATCAGGTAGAATATGCTGAATTGGTTGGGAAAAGCATTCTTCTCCAAAAAGGATGTGTAAGAGGCCTCCCATGTAAGAAACTTATCTCCACACAAACGAGTGAAGTCATAGCTCTTTTCTGACACAAGCAATCCTAACAGACCAGAAAAACACCAAAGAACAGGTATGAGGAACTTAGCAGGTTCAAGGAGCAAATAGTCTTCGATCAGAAAGACTAAGCTGGTAATTCAGATTTACTGAATCATGTGCCAGACCAAAGGGTTCTTGAAGAGTCATTTCAAACCCATGCCTGCAGAGAGATCTCTGCAGTCCAGCAATACAGTGGATAGCTGCAACATTTGGGGTTGGCTGGAAATAATACATTTGTTACTTTCCAGAACTAGCTTCTGACTGAGAAATGACCTCAAAGTCCAGGTGTTCAAGTAACTTAGCTATCAAACTGTGCAGCTGTGCCTATGGGATTCCCATATTTTTCCCTTGGTGGACTAGCTACATAGAAGTTTACAGCGCTCAAGTTTTGCACAAAGCAACCATTTGTTCAGAGTTTCAGCTGTGCTTTGAAGAGTGCATGTGCCCTGACTTCATATATTTGACCTAGCACAAGTTGCCTAATGGCCTCCATGCCTTCTGAAGGCTTTTAGAAGAGGACAGATGTAACAAGGGGTGAAAGAGACTCTTCTATTTCACTAGCAAGGTAAATAGTTGACGATCCCTACTGAAAAGCAAGCCCACTCCATCTGCACTTACACATCAGTACACCGAAGTCAAAGCCTCCTGTCTCAGCAAAATCCTCGCTTGAAATTTTCACTGGCTTTGGAAACTGAAATTTCATATACTGTTGCCAGGTAACAACTGCTGCTGAGCTCTTGCAAAATGGCTGCTCCCAGGACCAAAAGCTCCACTGTTACGGCACACGTAACAAACCTAAACATAACTGTGGGCAAGAGGCATGTCCTTTGAAGGCAAGGCAAGCTTTCAGTTACCAAACAGGTTTTAACATACCAGGATGAGCACTGCTGCCTACAGAAATAACTGCAACTATTATTCATTTGCCAGAAGAATATTTAAAACTTGCCTGTTTATGAACAGAGTCATTAAATCTGCAACTATGCTATGGACAGAAAAAGCCTGTGCAGCAACAGGGTATCCCAATGCAGAGACCATTTGGGCGCTCACCTCAATTTACCTGCACTGCAGAAAAACAGCAGCAGCGCTCACACGGCACAAGGAAACTTCAGGCCAAGGAATGCGATCCTGTAACCACCTAACACATTTGTGCTGCGCTTGCTGTTGCAAGATTAAGATGTGCGCCTTATTCCCACAGCACATGGTGGGTGCTTGTCCAGTTGCAGCAACTTCCATTGACTACAATTTATCCCTTGTGACCAAAAGCAGGAAAACATTCACTACAGAAAAAGCATCCAGGCTGCCAGAGAAAGATGATACATTCTTTGCTCTATTTGCAGCAACAGGAATGGCTCACATTGCTCTGCTCTGTTATGGACAGCAGGACGGTGATGTTCACTCCATGGGAAGGGGAACGACAAAACACTCCACAGAGGCTGATGGGCATAACAGTACACTGACATTCAGGAATGGCCTTAGCCCATCACTCTGTCTTAGTCGGAGTCAGACAAGCACAGGTGCTGCCTGCACACTGTCCTGAAGGCATAAAAGAAGGGAAGAGGCTCAGTGTTTAGTAGGTACATGAACAAAACAAAGTATTAACCTAAACTAGTACTGGCCTTCAAAGGGAAAGAAGTGTGGTCATATTCATTACCTTTTTAAAGGGCAGGAAAGCAGGAGCAATCAGAGCCGAGATACTGAACTCTTCCTGCTCTGACCCCCACCCCACATCAGGGATGCTACTTCATACTGAACAGTGACTTCCCTGATAAACACCACATGAGTAGGGTGAGCCCATGTAACACCTGGTTATCAGCAGAGATTTCAGCATGGATTGAAGGATCCTGCCCAAAACACCAGCAGGGACTCTCCTCCATAGCACGCTGGCATTGACAGCCTGTCTACGTGCTCCAGCTCGGAGTTCCATGGTTTGATCATGCAGCATCCCCTTGCTGAGGGCACAGCATCAAAAAAGGACAGAGCTTCTGAAGCAATGGAGGATGTTCGCCAAAACTGAGAGAAAACTGTGTCAAGAGAGACTTTGGTGGTGGATCGCATTTTCACGATCACCGAAACCAGCAGAACTAAAAAGCGTTATGACAGTTGTAAACTCTTTAGAGTGGGGAATGTTTCTTGTCATCTGCCTGGACAGCACCCACGATAACATAATGCTGCTTATAGCTACGTGAACCTAGTACTGCAAAACTTTCTTCGTAGCAATAACCTTGAAAAGCAGCTACGCCAGTCTCTGCTGGATATTAAGTGAAACCCAGAGTATTACAGAAACTAGAACTAGAGAGGACCTTGACCACAGCACCTTTGTGCCAGACAAGACTAGCCCTACACATGCAATTCATGAAGCTGCTTCTATTCTCCTTTAAAAGCCTTGAAGGATGCCCCAGTTTCCCTTTCCTCTGACATCCTACCAGGATTTTCAGAGGCTTTCAGTTGACAAACAAGTACTCTTGCTCTTCACTTTATTATGTCCAGTTCGTTCAAGTCTATTTGCTACTATCCAGGCAATGATTTCTGCTTGACTTACTGTCCATTTGCTCCTCTTCCTCTCAACTGCCTTCTTGTGGACTAGAGTTGACAGAGAAGGTATAAAAAGCATGAACAGGAAAGAAGCAAAATGAAAGTAAGCAAGCCGTACTCAGTAAATAACTCCTTTGCTTCAGCCAGCAAGAGAAGCTGCTTCTGGGGAAACTCAGGCTACCTTGAGAGAACAGAAACAACTCCCAACCATTTCCCAACCATGACACATCCTTTCAGGTCAGAAATTGCTTGTGAAACAAGTGTTCCCCATCCCTGCACTGAGTCTCCTTTCAGTCTTTCAAGTACAGAGCACTGCACTGTGAAGGAAAAAATGTATTTTCTTGTAAGAATTATAATCTGGGAGCACCTAAGTGCTCCAGAAACAACAGAAATTACTTCAAGTAATGAGAAGTTTCTCTATGGGTAGTAAAACTAATGAAGCTGGTTTCCTGTAGGTTTGCTCCATCACCCCATGTGCTTCTACATGCCTCCCACAACAATCCTGCATCCAACCTCTCACCCTTTTGGCCAAGCAAAACGCAGCACACGTGGCAGTCGCTTTGGAGGCAGCACATTCGTACTGACTCTCAGGACACTTAAAAGCTACGTTATTCCTGCCTTTTCCTCAACAGGAACACAACACGGGCATAAATTCTGTCCTCTGCCCAGAAGCTAAGTTTTTTTGCAAAATGTTCATGGTCTCAGGCTCCTTCAGACCATTAACTCATCAGGTTTGAGGATAGCACTGATCTGAGGGATGCCTGATAGCCCCTTCCACTGAACTCAGCAAAACACCTTGGGAAAAATTCAAAGCATTCTTAACACAGGAGGGAGACTCAGGTCGAGGAGATCAGTGCTGTTCAGTTTTCAGCGGCAATACCTCTCAGATAAAAAGAGCCCAGAGACCCGCAGCAGCGAGCTCTAGGTCCGAACTGCTCCCGCTCTGTTCAGCAGCAAAAATATTCTCCCATAGCTCCCAGCGACGGTCCTCAAGCTGGGTCGCTGGCTCCTCTCCTTACCCGTCTGGTACACACCTCCCGCCTGGCTCCCGGGTTCTTCGGGGAGAGAGGTAGGGCCGAGTGGGACCCCCCCTCGCCCCGGGCGGGACGGAGCCGGCGGAGGAC